TCGTGTTGTGTCGGTCAATGTTATGCCTGACGGTTCGCGCGTGTCATTGTTATGTGTGTGTCTCAGTGCACCAGACGTCTTTGATGTTATCGTTTGGGGGCTGGCAGCAGGCGCTGGCGTCCGTCCGGACGTCTGGACGCTAGCCACTCCTTTTTTTTAGTTTTGCAGCCCATGAGATAAGACAAGCGTGCGCACCAAGATGTTTCGCAGCCTAGGCCATCGCTAAGCAGGGACATCGACCAACGCCGTTCCTCTTTTTTACGACAAAATTAGTTCCTTAGTCCTAAAAAAAGTTATCTTTCCTTTGTTGGTCTTTTTGTTTTGAACTTTTCTATTTAACTCCAAAACTAAATTTGTTTGCTTTTTTTAGCCCTTACATCGGTTTGAGGCTCTAAGGCGTCCTCGATGGCGATTTACAAATAGCTAGCTAGATGGGGCTTTGAAATAATAATAAAAACACTGCAATGGGGAGTTATGTGAGTTGTGACAGAGTTATTTCTGGAAGATCATGCTAGACTAGTTATTTGGCCGTCGCTAGCTATTTGTTCTCTCTCCTGATAGCCAATATAATTCTTTATAGACTAGTTATTTGGGAACCATTTGGACGTCCTAATGATGTTAACTTGTACGTAAAATTACCCTTTTACAGACCAAATCACACCACTTGGACCGATACCGGTCAATCTGGTGTCGGCTAAAAAAATAAGTAATTTCTCATCTGATGTGTAATTATATGAACTTTCTAAATTATATGTTATTAAACATAATTATATATATATATTTTAAAATGATTATGACTAAATTTATATGTGACTATAATTTTCATTTATAACAAAATTTGAAATGGTAGATCGGTATAGACACGTACTGAAATGTTTCATTCTAAGATGAAAACAGAATTGGCATCGAGATTCGAGAATGGAATTTACGAGCATGGAAGGGGTCTCTCCGCCCCTATGGGCTGAATTCACGGCTCTGCGGCCCTCGGCCCGGTCGGCAAAAATCAAGTAGAAGTAGGTGACGAAAACTCGAGAAGGGATTCATGCCCGGGTTTTTCTTTGTGTGTGTGTGTGAAACTGAGAAGGGATCCATTGGGTTGTTCGTTACGGTTTAAAATGGGCTAAATTAGCGTGATCGTTCGCTTTCCGGAATTTTTTCTGGGCTCTTTGTGACCAAACCAGTGCCTGCGTTGGGCCAAGGGATTCATTACAAGAGAAACCATCGGAAGACAGTCCACCAAAGTGCCTTCGTCTGGGGCTGAAAGCCTAAAAATCCAGGCCAGCACTTTCTTCGCTCATTCTTTTTTTCCTGTAATGACGATTGGGTAAAACCCCATCACATCACATTAGCTAACGTTCGTTCAAAGGGTAATATTAACTTGTTCGGCAGTAAGAAATGATTTGATCTTCATCGTCAATCCGGCCAGTAAGATGATTTGATCTTCATCAATCCGGCCGGACATCCGGTCTAGTCCTGTCCTCTCTTGCCGGTTCTCATCCGTGCGATGCGACCGTGCGTTCTTGTTCGGCACAGTCCTCTGTTGCCAGAATTCTCATCATCTGTGCGTGCATGGCGCGTTTTGTTGAACCTGCCTTCCTTTTGTGATGATGTTGCTGAACCTACTCAAAATCCACGTCTCGCGTTTGGGTCTCGCACGTGATCATGACGCATGGCGCCCATCACCACATACCCGGCTCCCGCCTCCTGCCATCGCGACCCAACGTGCACGCCATATGTCTCGGCGCGCGGCGTTGCCATTGCGCTGCAGTGCACGCACGAAATTAACAATGGGCAGGCTTTAACTACGCCTGCGCCTTTTCTCCGTTTCCTCTGGGCAAAGCTGACGACGACGACAGCCACCCGGAGTTCCTCTTCCGGGTAGTGCGCAAGTGTGGACAGCATGTACTTGCTCCGGAGATCGCGTGGTGTTCGGTGAGGTTTTGACGCTTCGGCGTCCCATGCACATTGGCGTCGTCGAGCCTCAACGTGTCCGGTGGGCACCGGCAGCGGGCGTGGCGACCTCGTTCCATGGCTAGTGCGCGCGGCACGTCGGGAATTAGCGTCTACACATCGCGCTGCTGGATGTGCGGTGGTAGGTGAGCTCCGTCGAATCACATCTTAGCCAGTGGAGTGAGTTGGGGTTGGGCTCGAGGAATTGGTGAGCCGCTTGGTTTGCAGCTGGGAGCAGGCGTAGTAGGAAATAGGGCCGCCGGGGGCTGTGGTTTTACAAAACAAGGAATGCCCTCATGGTCTTATCCACACCTGTACGGCTGTACAGGCTACATGCCTTACATAACATAAGGATCATAGTGTCAGTGACGCTAATGAGTACCTTATTGCTTTAGGAGTTCATAGGTCCACGAGTGCAGCCTCTCATATTATAGTACTTGTCTTTTAGCTTGTGGATCAAATTATAGACGACCATACACAAAGTAGATTGGAGCTTTAATAATGTGTTCTAAATGTCTAGCATTGTAGCCATACACCTGGAATACATTTTGCATAGTGGGCATGCAGACGGGAGCATGTCCTGCCTGCCTACCTGATTTGATGTACTGATGATTCATTAGGCAGACGGCATTCTGATGTACGTGCAGTGCATTATTTCTTCAGTGTCGACGAGTTTGAATTCCAAAACACATCTCGCTGGTGAAATTTTTGGATTCATCAGCTTGAGCCGCACGTACAACGGTACAAGTGGAAGCCTCTCTCACACACTAGTCGACCTAAATTTAGCACTAATAGCAGAAAGTAGAGAGATTCAAACACAATCATAACACACCTGTCTTTGAAATTGGTAGCCGGGGATAGGCCGGCGCCAGACAAACTTGTATGGTTTTCGTTGCCACCCGAGCCGACCGCGTTCGTCTCACTGCGATGACCGACGACGACTCCGCGTCTTGTCTTGTTCTCACCATCAGCTCTCTATACGGAAATATAGCGAAGTTCGGTTCCTTTTGAAAATGTAGTGGTTCGGTTCTTGCGCATAATAGCAGGAGATAGGACTCTCAAAGTTCGGACATGGCCGAGTTTTCTATCTGTTTTTTTTTTCGGGTAGCCAAACTTTTGTCAAGGTTGGACCAATCGGCTGCCCAAGCAATACAATGGAAGCGCGCCCAACCGGCAACCGTTTGTCTTCAATGCGATTCGGAAGATTATTGCAGCACCTCCGAAGATTAGACTTCGGGGCTCGAGTTGACCTGCTTTCTTCGGTCATCTTGGCATGGTACAATACTCCAGCCATTTTAATTATTACTAGACGTAGTGCGCAAAAAAGATAAACTCTAAAAATTTTCACAATAATAACATACTATCTGAAATCACCCATAACAGCGATATATTATATTTTCTAAAAAAATTAGCCACCTTTGCCATTTTTTATGTAAAATACATGAAATAATCCCTGAAGTTGTATCTAAATTACCCTTATTCCATTATAAAAGATCATCTTAAATATCCCTCTAAATTTGTATCTAAAGTATCTACATCTCCCATTATAAAAGATAATTCAAAATAACTCCTATATAATTCAATAACTATGAAGTATATGCTATATATGTTCCTAGATTACATACTTCTACCTTGTGCTAGTGTGGCACCACGAGGTGTATCACCCGCCTGATCTGAAATGTCACCTCTTGATCCGTCCATTCCAGGTTGTCCAGCCTCCTTTCTCCCATCGGCCACCACAACCGGATTCATTGACCCTGTTCGCCACCACTAAGGGCTCGTTCGGTTACTCCGAAATCAGCCCCCGGAACGATTCCCGGCTGGAATGGTTCACGAATTTGTATAAAGTTGATGAACCGGAATAGTTTCGGGCTCCATTCCTGACTAACCGAAGGGGCCCTAAGTGAGTGAGAGAGATAGGGAGGGAGGAACGAGAATGCTCGGATTTGGGCTGAAGGGGTACTTTATGACATTGGGTGTGAGAGCCGGTGGCAATTTGCATTTAATTCTTATGAAGTTAATGACTATTTTTATTTTTTGTCAATGTGAGACAATGGAAGAGCATAGAAAAGCCAGGGGATCTTCTCTCTCTCTTTTTTTGAAAATTGAGGGCATCATCTTAGCTTCCCCTCTGCAAAACAACTTTTTTGCTTTCATGCATTTTGCCTTTAGAAGCCGGTGGAGGACCATGCGTTTGGCAGGGCTTATGGATAAACAGGAGCAAAAGCCGTTGGAGAAGTCATGTCGTAGAGACACTAAATAAGCATTGTCAGATTATCATGAGATATGTATTTGGTGTCGCAAGTTTGTGATGTTCTCTACAAAATTGACCGAACTTAAAATAGTTTAACTTAGTATAAAACTAGAGTGTATTTAGACGAAGGTAGTATTTGCTCTCAGAGGAGATACATACCACAAGTCCTACGCTATGTGAAGTATGCATAAAGAACATGTAATAATAAATTTTCTCGAATGGGCATGTCTTGGTGAACGTGGAAAAACTTGCTCTTGTTGCGTTTATTGCAGTCCACGTTCTTCAGCAATTTCACCCACTTTGTTGTTCCCGGTGGTGAGCGCCCTGACCCTTTGCCGGGCCAAGGGTTGGTTTCTCCTTTTCCTATCTCGGACGGTTCCAAGGCTGTGGCTCCCCACTCCCGTCCTCTCGTCCTTGTGAGTCAGTGGGTGCTGCTTCCTCGCAGCTCGCTCGGTGTGGGGCGCCACTTCTTCTGGACAGTGGACACCGCCGGTGGCTCCGGAGCCTCTTACGCACGGGCTAGCATAGCAGGACATCAATAGCGTTGAGCGTAGTTCACACGGCGTAAGCGCTTGCCCCTGGGCCATTTGACCGTGTCATGGTCACTATACACTAGCCACGATCCCACGAGTTTGATCATTGGCGTGTGCCGGGTACTCAGGTAGCCTGGGTTGCCTATAAAAAGGGGTTCTTGGTGCACTGAGCACTACAGCTCAACTCACTCTCATCACTTCGCTCCAAGCCCAGTGCTAGCTAATAGCCTCCTTTCCCTTTGTGTGAGAGACAGTAGAGCTCCATGGCTCAGGGAAGGGGCAGTGCTCGTGGCAACAGCGCCGCCGTGCTGGCGCTTGTCCTCCTCTGCGTGCTCCTCCACGGCGAGTTCGCCGAGTCGGCGGTGTACACCGTCGGTGACCGCGGCGGGTGGAGCTTCAACACCGCTAACTGGCCCAAGGGCAAGCGCTTCCGCGCCGGCGATGTGCTCGGTCAGTGCTACTAGTTAGCTGGCTCTCTATTCGATCATGTCATCGGCGGCGTTCTCGGTCAGTGCTTCAGCTTAATCTCTCCTGCTGGTTTTAACGGTGTGCACGCGTTCATGCAGTGTTCAGGTACAACGCCAAGGCGCACAACGTGGTGCCCGTGAGCGCGGCGGGGTACAGGTCGTGCAGCGCGCCCAAGGGCGTGAGGGCGCTCACCACCGGGAACGACCGCGTCACGCTGAAGCGCGGCGCCAACTACTTCATCTGCAGCTTCCCAGGCCACTGCCAGGGCGGCATGAAGATCGCCGTCACCGCCGCGTGAGCGTGAGGCACGGCCGGCCGATCTCAGATCAGCCGGCGGCGACCGCCGTGCGCACGGACACGGGGTCGATCGGTGGCTAGCTTACTATTAATTTTCTCTCTTCAAAGTAAAGCACGTAGCTAATTAGACGGTGCCGCTCTGTTGTTCAATAATACCGTGTCGTGTTGTCGCGTACTTAACCTGCGTGTTAGGAGTTGTTAGGTATTTGGAGACTGGCACTATAGAGAAGGGTCAGATCGAGTGATGTACTACTGATGTGTGTATTTGTGTGTTGATGTGAAGAACAATAAAGGCATACGGCGTTTGTTTGTGTGCTCTGTATATCCTGTATTCAATTGATGTGTGATATATGCTAGTCATGCTTGTTGGAGCTAGAAAAGAATAAGAGAAATATAGGACTCCAGAGATGGGAGCGAGGATGACGCTAAAAATGTCACAAAGGACAGTGATGCTGAATCATGAGAGACAACCTCAGTCAGACAAATAAAATGACCGAAGAGAACGGCAGAGATATAGCCATGTAAAATCTATCAAGATAGACCTATATCTCTATCAACGTCATTTTTCATCGATAGCTATGTCATCCCACTAACTTTCAACCTCTTATTGCAATCTATCCATGCCATCTCCACCGAACGCAATTACTACATTCAATATATAAGAAATGCAGAATACATCCATATATATTGCTATTTGTTTTTTGCCGTTCTATCATCTTATAATTCAATTTAATTTCACTAGTTTTTTATTAGATTCTTTCATTCCCTTGTCCAATTTTGATAAGAATGGATGTAGGAATACGTAGGTTTAACTCATACATGCAACATTTTTATTTCTAAGAAAGTCACATAACAATGTACGGGATATCCCTCTACTATATTCTAATCGTGTATACAGGTGGAAGAAAAGCAGAGTGACGGTAAGATAAAATTCAAATGATGCACTAGTACATAAACTAAACCAATTTCAAGTGAAAACTAAATAAAATGGGCTAAGATGGTGGTCCAAGGGAGTTTGGAATTGTCATGGCTTTTGAGCTAGCAAATAAAAGCTATAGTTGATCTAAACGACTTAACTAATTGTACACTTATAATTATCCAAACACGCACCTTATAAAACTCCTGTGGTTACCATTGGAGCTTAAAAAGCTTTGAGGGATCCAAACAAGCCCAAAACCAACTTATTTGGATCGTGTAGAGCTTGGACCAACTAAACTTTTTGTTAGCTAAAATAGCGGGAGCCGGCTAATACTCCCTCTGTCGGTGTTTTATAAACCAGACTAGTGAATTTATACGATTGTCGTGCTGCTCTAGGAAGATGATGGTAACATCCAAAAAACACGAGGATTTATACTGGTTCAGGCCGGAGCCCTACGTCCAGTCTCAGAGATGATCGAGTGCGTGTTCCTCGCTTGAATGCTCTGAAGTTCTTACAATGGGGGTGCAAGAATGGTGGAAGATGTAGGAGAGCTAGAGCTAGGAGACGGGCTGTCCGAAGGAAAGATTCAGGAGCCCTTCTACGGTGTAAGAATGAGTGAATGAGAGAGAGTCGGATCCCCAAGATGGGTGCCCTGACTGTCCTTATATAGAGTTCGGGGCCAGGGCGTGTACAAAGAAAAAGGTTCTCTCAACCGAAGGGTCGTGAGCCTGAGGGAGGACCTAGCTAACTTGGCTTGCAAACTACACTACCTTGTGGTGTACGTCTGGACGTGGTTGTCGTCACGGTCCTATGGCCATGTCGTGACATGTTGTGGCGTGGTGGTACTGTGCCGGCCATGGCGGCACTGTAGGCACGGTGGTGGTTCGCCAGCCGTCCTATGCGACGTGGTCTTTGTCGTGGTCTTCATCATCGCGTCCTGGTTTCCTGGGGAGTCGTACAAGAGTTGATAGCTGCCCCAGGTCGTCGATCACCTGGTTGGCTTCTGGAGCTAATGGCCACAATCCTGAGCGTTGGGATCGTGGCTCCCGCCGGTCTGGGTGGCCTCTAAGTCAAGGCCTCCGTCGTGGATCCCATGCAGTGGTGGGTAGGATCGTACATGTATCTTGTTGGTCCGTATTTGGACGGTGAGTCGCCGTACTGACAGTCACCGCTTTGGGCGATGTTATCTTGTCTGTGCTGCGTGGCGCAGGAGTGGCGTCTGACCGGACCGAGGTAACCGATATCCCCTCGGTCCTTGTGGAGTCAGTGCGTCGTGCCTACCATTGTCAGAGCAGGCATGCCTGGCTGTGCTCGACCTCTCCCCGTTCCTCCCAGGGGTCGGGACGGTCGAGAGGTCGTGAGTCTTCTGTGCGTCGTGTGGCTAAGGCGGAAGGGAGAGGTCATGGCCAACCCTGGCCTTGTCGTCTGGCCTGGTTCACTTGGGTCAGCTGGGCCTCGATCGTTTGGGCCTTCGCTAGCTGATGTATCATGGGCCACTCGGCCTGCTAATTAAACGATGCCTTGAGACACTCGGGGATCATAACCCCGACACCCTCCATGCCCTAACATAAGGATTTTTAGCGTTCAAATTACCGGGAAATACAAACATTTCTGACATAATCCACTCCTCCTCCTTCCTCATTAATCAAATGCCATTACCGCTTACCATTTTGATTAGCGCCTCCCAATGTAATACCGGTGTTTAAAATTTAATTAGCACTAGTCATTTGCTTAAGGCGGGTCCCAGTGTGTTTTTGTGAGTTTTTTTTTGTATTAAACAAGTTGACACAGCAAAAAAATATAAATAAAGAAAGAAATGATAAAAATTTTATAGGATAGAATAAATTTAATGGTTCCAACGCATGATAGTCTTAGGGTTGTTTGGTTGTTGGCCACCAATCTAGATCACATGGCACACAAAATTGAGGGCCTAGATTGATGCTAGTGAGGCAAAGTTGCATGGCAACAAACCACGAAACTCTCACTAAGACTGGTCTAAATAAAAAAGGCAGTTATTAATTGTATCTATTAATCTCGGTGACTGATTGACGGGCATCACAATAATTTCCCTTTCTCCTTACTGTATGTCATAAGAATCCTGAAAATGCTTACATTCGTGATTCCTGGGCATAGTGAGTAGCTTTTTATTAACTAGGTGGTTAGAAAGTTAAAATTAGACCATAAACCAGAATGTTTGAACCAACTAGAGTTTTTATTTATTTATGTTTCAACCTTTTCTTTTAGCTCTAGCTATTCAAGAGGAACTTACATGCTGTTTGGTTGAGCTGAGGAAACGCAAAGGGAATGTTAAAACAGTGGTAACGTAAACAGTGGAAGCCATTACTTGATTTGTTTGGTTGGCCTTTTGTAACGGTAACAAACTAAACAAGAACAACAGATTCAGGCAAAAAGCACGAATAGGGATGAAAGCGGGAACGGGAAATTCCCGTACCGACCGACACCGAATACCAGAATTCCCGATCGGATATCATTTTCTCGGGAAAAATGGATTCGGGAAGAAATCCGGGAAAATTCGACGAATCCGGGATCGAAATCGGTTAGAGTGATTTCCCGACCGAATTAGCGGATCCCGTATTGTTCAGGAAAACTCCCGCAGGAAATTTCCGTTTTCAAGGCCTCCCAAGTCTCAAGTCTGCAAACGGCCCAACCCACACCCAGCCAAGACTCAACTGCCCCGCCTAGTTGCCCACCGCCGCCTTCGGTCTGCTTTATAGCTCACATGCGCATCCACCGGTGATTTGCTTGGCGAGGTGGGACTAAATGCACCAGCTAGTGGATGCACAGAAGAGAGGAGGCAAGGAGCTGACGAGTCATGCATGCGGCCCATCATTCCATGCTTGGCCCAGGAATTCACGCATGGAGCAGCAAAGTTTGGCCCTTTGTTCATTTTTCTTTTCCATTTTATCTTTTTGGTAGTTCTGTAGTTTTCTTTGCATAAATATTCTGACGAGCTCACTGTTTGCTATTGTTTGCATATGGATTATGCATGGTTGCTATTGTTGCATCGAGCTCACCGTTTCAAGTGATTACATATATCGATGTTTTCGTTCTGTGTTACCGCTTCCCGATCGTAATCGACACGTTCCCGTTCGAAATATTCCGTTCCCGATATCCTGTAATACCGGATTCGTTTTCCCGTCCGGCCTTCCCGTTCCCGTTCCCGGTCAAAAAATACAGGAGCGGGAATGGTTAAAACATTTTTCCGACCGTTCCCGACCGTTTTCATCCCCTACATGAAATCAATTCTCCACTCCTTCGCCGTTGACCCCAGCCTCCACGGCGTGGCCATACATCGCCAGCTTCTGCGGCGTTGACCCCAACCTCCCGGTCATCGACATCTGCGAGCTCATGGTAGGGGAGGACGGCCAGGCCGGGTACGGGAACCACGACGCAGACAGATCTGTAGCGGGGCCCGGGAGAAGGTGTTGGAGAGCGACAATGATGCCCGCCGGCTCGCGTTGACGAGGAGGAGGCCGGATCTGGGCGTTCGAGTGCCAGCCCGTGCAGGGGGTGGAGCCAGGACGAGCTCCTCGGCTTCCTCGACCACTCGACGACGGGCTCCTCTGCTACCCCGACGGCGGATACGCTTCTGTTTTTCTAATCGGTATAGACTGGTATTCGATTGCGCTGGGGTGGGGGAAGTATCGACTTTGTATAGTATGGTATCAGATAAGGGCGCGAGTTGATTACGTGTGGTCTGAAACAAACAGAAGCAACGGCATCTGTTACCGTCCGTAAACCGGTCCCGTTACATTTACTCGAAACAAACGGCATCTTAGAATCAACGAACAATTTATATGCGTTGGTGTTGCTTCGCCAAGCTTTGCCCACCGGTGGCTACAGCTCTCGATCGATCCCCGAACAAACAAGGGATGGAAGGATGATGTGATGTGCCGGCTCAGTAACCAACTTGGCTCATCAGTCATCAAGAAACGTCCGTCTTTGACCCAGTTGGCGGGTTGGCGCTGCACGCACTTTGAACCGGTCCCTCAGACCCTGAGTGGCCGATAAACCGACCTCCGAAATGGGCACACGCCAAACGCCGGCCTCCGGTCTCTGGCAGAGAGCGAAGCAGCCCCGCGGCGCGGCCTCTTGCCCCCGCATCCATAGCTGGTGTTCGGTGTTCCCATCTCGGGGTCTTGGCGGTGCCCACTCGTCGCTTTCCGCTCGCCGTTGACTCGCTTCACAGTTCGCACACACGCCCCGCCGGTCAGGTCTCCTCCAGTCCTCCTGGTCCAAAAGTTCTGGCGTCTGGCCATTCCTCGCGTAGTTGGAGTAGTAAATTCTTCCTAGAAAGGGTACCGCCACGAAATAACTCGTCTGCAACTGCCATGGGGGCCCTGGTGCTCCTGAAGAAAGTTCCTGAAGAAAGTTCGCCACGCACTGAAATCACATGCATGGCAGCGTAGACCATCTGACCGTGTAATAGCAACGTACGGTAGCCACAAGTTCGACTGAACTCGTGCTGGGTTGGGTTTGCCTATAAAACGAGGCCCCGGGCGCACCGAGAACTGCATCTCAACTCACACTCATCACTCGCCATCGCTCGAGCACTTCCCTTCCTGAGGCCTGAGCTCATCGTGTTGTTGAGAGCGGCGTATATATGGCTCAGGGAATGGGCAGTGCTCGTGGCAGCAGTGGCGCCGCCGTGCTGGCGCTGGTCCTCCTGTGCGTGCTCCTCCACGGCGAGTTCGCCGAGTCAGCGGTGTACACGGTCGGCGACCGCGGCGGGTGGAGCTTCAACACCGCCAACTGGCCCAAGGGCAAGCGCTTCCGCGCCGGCGACGTTCTCGGTCAGTGTGCTACGTACTAGCAGCTAGCTCTTTACACGTCTACGTACTATTGAACGGCTGGGTAACCGCTGAAATGTATGCACGCGTCCTTCATGCATGCAGTGTTCAAGTACAACCCCAAGGCGCACAACGTGGTGCCCGTGAGCGCGGCGGGTACAACTCGTGCAGCGCGCCGAGGGGCGTCAGGGCGCTCACCACCGGCAACGACGCGCGTCACGCTCAAGCGCGGCGTCAACTACTTCATCTGCAGCTTCCCCGGCCACTGCCAGGCCGGCATGAAAGGTCGCCGTCACCGCCGCGTGAGGCCGGACCGTACCGATCGGCCGGCTATATATCTAGCTCTCTTGTTTTCTTCTTCTCCAAAGTAAAGCGCGTAGCAGTTCGTCGTTGTTCAATAATACCGTGTCGTCGGCCGGGTACGTACGTATGTACGTGCGCGCCAGTTGTTAGGTGTTGTGTTGTCGGATTGGCACTGCTACACATAGAGCAATGTACTGGCGTGTGTGTTGATCTATGCGACCGAATAAGAAGGCATACAGATACAGCTGCGTTGGTTTCAGCTGCATCCTGCATTCAGTCGACGTTTTTTTGAGGGGACTGCATTCAGTCGACGTGTATGCGTCAGTCAGTAGGTGCTTGTTTGGGAGCCCATTTCTTCATTTCGGCCCACGCGTTCTCTCGCGCCGAGGAATCAGGCTGTAATGCAAACGCAGGCGTTCGGGCGGGGGGCCCGGCGGCCCGTTGTTACCTCCCGCTTCTGGTTTCCTCCGCTGCAAGAGGAGCAGAGCAGCCCAACAGGAAGCTGCTGCACACCCGCTTGGCCGACTTGGGAGTGGGGGACCCTGCCGAGGCGAAACATGCACAAAACACCACCTCTGCGGTTCTGCCCCTGCATGCATGGCTGCACTCTTCCCTCGTTTCATCATGACATACAAGAGGCAAGAGCTGAACTTTGCCGAGGCCAATAGCTGAATCTTTGTTCCTTTGCCAGCGCGTTGATCTGAGCGTACGAGAAGAGAATCAGAGGACCAAGAAACATGAATTCTGAAGGCAGATGTGTGTCCAATTGTCCATGGGCCACTGCTGGACCCTTTTTTTTCAGCGAGAAGAGGAAGATACAGCACCAGCTCTACAGCAGGGTACCATGAGATGGGTCACTGCCCACTGCTAACCTGCTACAGGCTACAGCGATGGTCTGCCAAGTGATGCGTGGGATGGCAGTACTGGCAGAGGATTGAATTCCTTGACCTACTCTGCTCGGCTACCATAGCAGCCGGCGTAGTATTGCTTGCCAGTTGCCACAGCTGTGAATTTTGGGCCTTCGCTACCATTGTACTGATTTCACCATCATGAAATCGGTGTCTTCCTCGGGTCCAGTTTAGTTTCCAAAAAATTTTACAAAAATTTTCACATTCCTCGTCACATTAAATCTTTGAACGTATGCATGAAGCATTAAATATAAATAAAAAATAAAACTAATTACATAGTTTAGACGAAATCCACGAGACAAATCTTTTAAGTCTAATTAGACTATGATTGGACACTATTTATCAAATAACAACGAAAACGCTACAGTACTCATTTTGCAAATTTTTTTGCATCTAAACAAGCCCTTGGCCTATTTTCCAACAGGTAAAGCAGTTGCTAATAAGCATAAATTACACTGCAGACTGATTTCGTTCCTAGGCAAGCGCTAACCTCAACCATGCTCGAGTAGAAATCAAAGCGAAGTGAGCGGTTGGATCGCAAACGAGCTTATCTGGGTGTTTACGCTGGTAAGGTTTCTCGAGACAGGGAGTTCGCCTCACCAGTCACCATAGACAGAGGCGAGAGCCACACGCTAACAAGATCATGCACTTCTGCGAATGCGTGGTGAGCATTGAAGAAGGCCGAGCCTTCAACCTTCTTCATGAAGTTCTGTACTTCTGTGATTTTCTTGTTGATAAATGCATGTTTAGTTCTGTGAATATTATTGATTAATATTGTCCTAGTAGAATCTGTTGCCTGGCCTGCACCGTGAGGCTATCGTCTGGCCTACTGGCCCGTCATGTGATCACGGACTGGCGTCCTATGCAGCATTGAAGCAGCACGGTCTCACGCTTGTCCCTCACGGCCTTGTTTAGATTGTAAGTTTTTTTATTTCCTCTTTATCACATCAAATCTTTAGATACATGTATGGAGTATTAAATGTAGATAAAAAAATAACTAATTATACAGTTTAATTGTAAATTACGAGACGAATCTTTTGAGCTTAGTTAGACCATAATTAGACAATAATTATTAAATACAAATAAAAATACTACGGTACCCAATACTGATTCCTAGCCCCAATCTAAACACCCACGCTCTGCTCGTCACCTCTGCCGCCGCGCGCTCTGCGCAGTATTGATTTCCTCGGACACCGTGCTCCCCGACCCCGAGCACAACCATCCAGCAGCCAGCTGGGAGCGCCGAGTGCACTACACTCACCTTGCCAGGCCTCGTGCACTTTGCAAAAAAATTGAACCTAATAAATAGTATCACTTTCGTCTTATTTAATAAATATTATCTAATCGTGGATCAACTAGACTCAAAAGATTCATCTCATGATTTCCAACTAAATTGTGTAGTTAGTTATTTTTTTACCTACATTTAATACTCCATACAAGCAGCTAAAAATTGATGTGACGAAGAGAGAGTGAAAAAACTTAGAATTTGGATAGCATCTAAACAAGGCGCCAGTCGATCTGCATTTCACTAGTTCCACACTGCCATTGGCCGGCCCATTGAGCCACCATCAGGCGCGGCATTTCTCCCCTCCTGGTTAGTGTAGTGAGTGCAGCGAGCCGACGAGTGCGTCCGTGAGATACCGAGATGGCTCAGGGAAGAGGCAGTGCAAGCGCGGGGCGAGCCATCGGCGCCATGGCGTTCGCCGTTGCCTTCTGCTGCTGCCTCGTCATCGCCGACGCAGGCACCACCTACTACGTCGGGGACAGCAACGGCTGGTCCTTCAGCAGCCCCAGCTGGCCCAACGGCAAGCACTTCCGCGCCGGAGACACTCTCGGTACGTCTCCAGTAAAACCAGCATTCTGCAATGCATGCTCAGCTCAGGGGCGCAGTGTTGCATTTGGCCGGCTTCTGGCAACTAAAAATGGCCATGCTTTTGTGTGTGTGTGTGTGGCTGCAGTGTTCAGGTACATCCCCTGGATCCACAACGTGGTCGCCGTGGACGAGGACGGGTACAACGGCTGCACGACGCCGCCGGGGTCGCGGACCTACACGTCCGGCGCCGACAGCATCACGCTCACCAGAGGGGATAACTTCTTCATCTGCACCCGGTTCGGCCACTGCAACCTCGGCATGAAGCTCGTCGTCTATGCCGCGTGATCGCCGCGGCGGCGGCCATGATCTGTTAAAGCTAGCGACTAGTAGTATTATTTCGTTTGCCTGCCTTCCATTAAAATTGGGGAGCCAGTTGGGTGATTGTTTCTCGGTTCTTTGGCTAGGAGGTTTGGTGTGACTGGATGTGTTGTTGACTGACTGGATGTGCTCGGCTGCTTGGTGCTTGCTCTTGAGTGAACTGGTCGATTTGATTTCTGCTATTTCATGTAAGAACCGTTGTTAATGGGCGCGTGTTTGAACATTTGCTTTCCATGACAAATCGCTTGAGATATGTACCAGTCTGAGAGCGAGCCACCACGTTTGATTTCTCTGCTTTCTTGCAGCTTGTTTATCAGAACGGGCATTTTTTGTGGATAGTGAGGTTTCAGCTTATGCAGATCCATAGTTTTTTTTTTGTGCGTGCAAAAATCGGCTGGTACCACAAAAATTAAAACCATTTCCGGGTTCGCAGACAAACTCGCTTGCATCCCTATTAGTAGGTTATACACTATTGGATGATTAGCTTTTTCAGGAATTATTGGATAATTAGTTTGTCCATGTAATCAACAAGACGTATAGAAATGCCAGCTGTTACGGTCTTATAGACCTCCTCTATTTCGATGCACTTGTTCAAAGTCCGAACATGGAAATATGGCATAAGCCAAACCCAGACCAGCCAAGGGACTTCAGGTCCATTTCTCTCCATAATTGCTCAACAAATCTCGCATCGATTCTGGTTCAACTTGACCAAACTGGCTTCGATGTATCTTTGAAAACTTCATCTATGTGGCTGAACTTGTCCGTCACTCTCACAAGATGCTAGTGTCGGCTGCCATTTTGAAATTGGATTTCAGGAAGGCCTTTCAACTCGGTTGGGTGGGCAGGTCTAGACAAAATCTTGGATAAATGGAGGTAGTGGATTGGGATTGCACAACTCTATACTCTAGTCAAACAATGATCAAGTTGAACGGCGTCCCGAGCAAGTGGATACCATGCAAAAAAAAAAAAATCGACATACCTTTTCTTTATTGTGGCGAGCCGGCTCCAACAGCTTAACTCAAAGGTGGCTTTCGAAGACGACCTCCAAGACTCGCTCATCGTCAACGAGCCCGTTCCTGTAAAGTTTTACAGTATGCGAATGGCACGATGGCACACTAATAGTTATTAAGGCCATCTGGAAAGAGCGCGAGCAAATATTGGACATGTTCTCAACAACAATAGGGCTCCACATCGCAAGTTCGTCCCTATAAGCATGTGTCATCGCAAGCCCCGCGACTTGTAGCTCATGGTGGAAATCACTCAATCACGGGATGGTGGCAGAGGCTCCTCAACCGGCTAGAAGCAGCTCGTTAAATCCGTCTTGGCAAGCACTACCTCCTATGCCATGCCTTCCATCTTAGTGCCCTAAGGTACTATTGATGCATTGCAGTGTAGGTGTCATGCTTTTTTCTAGACAGGCAAAGATACCTGCAAGGGACGACAATGAAAGGTGGTCTAGCAAGTGGTTTGCACCAGCGAGGACCCCTTGGCATTTGGCTTAAGCTTCAAAATGAGAGCCTCCATTCAAAGATCTTCATATGGCTTCGCCAACATTCGAGCACCCCTTGACAGCGTTGGTTTCATAACAACTACGATTGACATGAAAATGACCTCGGTGACAGCCATCGTGGGCTCATGGCTACACGTCTATGTAGAAGCCGCTCCTCTTAAAGAGAGAAATATTATAGGAAGAATCACCTGTATCCCTTTGTTTAGTTAAGAGTTAGTTTTTCTTTATTCTAGTTCTAGCCCCTGTTCGCTTCGTTGAAAATCCAGCCTGAAACGTACTGGTCGCTGATTTACTGTGAGAGAAAAACACTTTACCATGGCTGATAAGTTCAAGCGAACAGGGTCTTCAAGAATTAGCAAACTAGCTAAATGGTTTTACGAAGTGATTTTGATTCCGCAGAGAAACAATTTTAGAGAAAGACTAGGGGCTCGTTCGGCTGGTTGAAAAACTAGTCGAATTTCACTGTGCACAGATGAAAAACACTGTTCACTCTCTCACAAATTCCTCAAGATTAATTCAGATTCCTCCAAATTTCTTCTAGCGAACAAGACCTAGATATAAAATGTTTTAAAGAAGAATCAATGTTCCTACCAAATGTACCCCCTTAAGTGATGTGGCTTATGATGTTTTGGCTAGATGTACATGCTCAATGCAGCTGTGAATTACTTTTATCGAAAGAGAGGCGAGAGGGAGCGTGTTTTGTTAAGAAAAAATAACAGCCGATTCATCGCTGATCCCCCGAGACCATATACCGCCGGCCCGCCGCCGCCGCCTCCGCGCTCGAAGACTCGAGCGCCTGGTCTGCTCGCCCGCCCCCCTCCCCCGCGCGCGATTGTCTTCGCCGACGACCGTAAGCCGTCTCATCGCCGGTGAGCTCTCTCAGACTCCTCTCTAGCCCAATCCACAAAGCAATTTTCTCTCCTAACCCCAGATTCGTTTTTTCCTCCAGGCCGCACAAAGATCCCTGGTAAGGAAAGCACTAGGACGTGCAGTAGAATTGTGAATCGCCAGAAAAAACATCCGTTGGCGGCGGCATGAATAAGCGTCCCCGCGACGACCACTCCTCCTCCTTCGCCTCCGCGCCCAAGCGCCAGTACGGCGCAGGTACTCCCTCTCCGCCTCGCCCCCCTTCCTCTCTTGCTCACCAGCCGGCGTCGGTGCGAGGCTAGCTGCCGCGGTCGGGTTGGGTGGCTAACTAGGGTTTGGGGCTTGGGTGGCAGGCGGAGGGTATGGCACGCAGCAGGGGTACTCGGAGGAGCGGAGCAGCGTGCGGCGGGTGGCCGACCACTACAGCGCGCGGTCCAACCAGACCCTCGAGGAACGCGAGAACAGCCCCATCATCCACCTCAAGAAGCTCAACAACTGGGTGGGTCTCAATTCAGTTAACCGCCCTACCCGGCAATCCCTGGATTCTTAATAAAATGGGGAACCCATGATGTTTGATACATCCTGCCAGTGACCACACTGACTGAGCAACTGTTCAATCTGTGTGTTTTGGCAGATCAAGAGTGTTTTAATCCAGCTGTATGCACGCCCGGGCGACTGCGTTCTTGATCTTGCTTGCGGGAAGGTTAGTGGCATGTTACGGTTCCTTTGCATAGTAGAAAGAGCAATGGTTCCTGGGCTTGAAGGCAGCGTTAACCATTAAGCTATGCTTATTTGTTTGTAATGCAGGGAGGTGATTTGATAAAGTGGGATAAAGCCAAGGTTGGCTACTATGTAGGGGTTGATATCGCTGAAGGCTCGGTTAGTTTCCTATCACATGAGATATTTTTATTCTATATGTGTACATTTGCACAAGTACACCAGAAGTTGTTGTGCATTAGCTGTATATTTAGCTTCGCTATTTTTGAATTCTTATCATTGATGACTTATGGATTCTCAGTATGAACTAATCAATTGAACACTTTATGTTGTAATATTATCTGATGTGCAGTATATTGTGTTTCTGCATCGCTTTTGAGCACGGACATATAATGGCCTTACCCTTTCTGACTTTGCATCGCTTTTGAGCACGGACATATAATGGCCTTACACTTTCTGACTTTCAGATAAAAGATTGCATGACTCGCTACAATGGTGACACAGATCAACAAAGAAGGAAAAAGTTCAGTTTCCCTGCACGGCTTATTTGTACTGATTGCTACGAGGTAAAGAGATGGAAGCTACTTGATTAGCCATGGCTAACTTGATGGTTTGCTTTTGCATTCACAAACCCACTAATAGATGCACATGTTACCAGGCATAGAGCCACAAGTTGTTTCGAACTGTTGTTATTTTCTATAATTATATTAGCATGGCACCTTGCATAGAGCACTCCTGGACTTATTCATACTCTATTGAAAACAGCGGCGGATCCAGGAAATATTTTAGGGGGGGCTGAACAACACTGCTGCTCGATCTTAAGTCTCAGCCCCCCCTACACTATAGAACTTTGCCTAAAAATTCATAGGGACTCTACAGTAATTTGCACTGTTTCGGGATGGGTAGGGGGGGCTTGAGCCCCCCCTGCCCCACTGCTGGATCCGCCCCTGATTGAAAATATGATAGTATTGTCTTATCCTTCACATCACTAAGCAGAATATAGTGCACCTCATAATTTATTGCCTGTCAAAATATCACATGCTTATCAGAGGCGGATGGGAGTACAGCTGTACCCCTTATACCACAAAAAAAATACCTAGTGTATCTCATATTATAGTGCATGTAGACATTACCATGTCAAATATGAAGCCAAAGTGCCCAAATGACAACCCACCATACATTACTTGTTCAGATGAAAATGAGGAATGGATTACATGACTGATCAATTTCTTTTCTTTCTTGCTTAGGCTCGTTTGGATGAATATTTATATGAGGATGCTCCATTTGATATATGTAGTTGTCAGGTGAGTCGTCTTGCCTTGTACTTCTAGCCCTTGATCTTTCACTGGTCCACTGCTATTATTGTGTGGGTCCAACTGTATCCTTGCTTCTTGTTAGTGCAGCTTTGTATTTGTTGAGCCTCTAAATCTAAATGGTCATGAACGCAGTCATGGTAGACAGTTATCATGTAAAGTTGTAAACAATGTTCCGTAATAAGGTGGTTAAACATTTAGTATCATCGCTTTGCACAAGAAAAGAAATGTGACTCTGATGTTCCTAAAACAAAATGTGACTAGGATGTCTAAAATGCCCTTTTAATTGGTAATGCATCATCAAATCTTCTAAACTTTTAAGTAGTAGTTACTAATGAGTAAAGTTGTAAAAATCTTTCCTGATGTCAGAACAAGGAATTCTATTTGATCATACGTACTCCATCACTCTCTATATTTCAGTTCGCTTTACATTATTCATGGTCAACTGAAGCACGTGCTAGACAAGCCTTGGCAAATGTGTCTGCATTACTTCGTCCTGGAGGCATTTTTATTGGGACAATGCCTGATGCCAATGTCATTATCAAAAGGCTTCGAGAATG